TTTGAACGCAAAAATTTGCGTTTTTGGTTCTATAGACTTCATTGGAAACGCTGAGGAAAAGCATGTAGTGCATTTTGAATGCGTTTTTGCCACATTTTTGTTGCGTTTTGCATTTTACATTTGCATAAAGGCAAGAAAAAAAACGCAATGTAGAAACAGACCAAACGGAAGCTGTATAGGTGTGAACCTAGCCCTAAGAGAGATGTATGAAGTGCCATTGCTGACCTTTTTCTGGAAATCTTATTTCCCTGGCTGTTTCTGACTCTGAAAATGTATTTTACTCACCAGCAAAAAGCTTGCAGCCAGTAAGGTCAGATGTTCTATGTACTTTATTCTCACTCCGATGAGTCAAAAAGTTTTGAAGCCACTGGATGAGAATGGAAGCATGGAATGTGCATTGTCACTTGGAGGTTGGCAGCCCTAGGCTGTGTGTTTCTTTCTTTTTGAAAGGTAGGGAGCCAATGATTTGCCTTTTTAACATCCCAGGGGTTTCGATTGATGTGCCCATTTTTTACCCCTATAGGTTCAAACCTGTCATATGGCAAATGAGGCTCATGTCTGAGCACTAGACGCATCCCCAACTATGTAAATGGGACCAGGGGCAATAGGGGATCATGGGGCCCCTGTGTCCTTGCCCACACTCAAAAAAGCCTATAAAAAAGGTACCAGGGGCATTTCATGGGGCCCCCTACTGACCCCGGGCCCTCGGGCAGTGCCCAAGTGCTCGAATGGTCAGTCCGCCCCTGAATGGGACTGTAAAAGGTTAAAGGACCTCTATAGCAAAAAGTACTGTATTCTGTGACTTTGTGTAGTGAATACCTGTGATAATGGCATGAAGTATAAGAATTTCTTTCTTCATTTCATGTAGTTTATGTCCACAGCATACTGTTGCGCCTTTCTTTGACTCCATGTCACTACTGTGTCCTGTAGAAGTTTAGTGACCAGGCAACCTGGAATGCATCAGGTGTGAAAGCGGTAACTGGGGTTTAACTTTAATTTGATGCTTAGGCAGGCCATAAATGACGCAATTTGATCGCTTGATTCCTCCATCAGTCATTGTTGATGGGGGAATCCCTCCTACAGATCTATTGTGTTCTCCCGGCAGGGAGACATCTCTTCTGGGAGAACACAATGATTTACTGTCAGCGGCTATAATCACATGCAGGGGCGGACTGACCATTTGGAAACTCGGACACTGCCCGAGGGCTCGGGGTCAGTAGGGGGCCCCATGAGATGCCCCTGGTACCTTTTTCATAGGCTTTTTGAGTTTGGGCAAGGACACAGGGGCCCCATGATCCCCTATTGCCCAGGGGCCCCATGATCCCCTATTGCCCAGGGGCACCATGAGTTGTCAGTCCGCCCCTGATCACATGCTAAAAATACGACATGCTGGTTGTACCCAAGTTGATCATTTGGTTGACGGGTACAATTAGCCTGCCCATAAATAGATAGAATCTCGGCCGGTCTGCTGAACTGGCCAAGATTCGATCCATCTATGGCCAGTTTTACTTAATCCCCTTCCTGCCCAGTCCCTGCTTTCCATTAATTGGGTCTGTATGCCTGGGGGGGAGGGGTGGGAAGGATCATTGATCATTTGACCACTGTGATTGGCAGTCACAGTGGTCACATGATCAGATACCGGTTCCACCACCTATACCAATTATGGGCGCCGAGAACTGTCTTTGAGATCTTGGTCTCTGTGCTGGGAGCACACAGTGTGCACGCTCTCACGCCATTTTGCCGCCACTCCATTTAAGTGCATCCTGTACATAGGATGATGGTGCTGCTGTGCAGCTTTCACAAATAGTCCTGTTACCTTGTTAAAGTAGAACTCCATTTTTTTTTTCACCACCACCCCCATCCCCATAATTAATAAACTTTGTATATGCCTTCTCCATACATTAGTTGCACACCCGACTCCCTTCTTAGTCCAGCGCTGCAGGTCCTCTTCAGGGCAAAATGACCATCATGTCTGGTCTGCCCATTTCCTGTGAGACTAGCCTGTAATTTACACACCCCCTAGGGTCCTAAGTCCTGGACTCATGGTATTCGCGGACTGTGCTTCTCAATTCTGGAAACGTTTTCACCCGCTGCTAGAAGGAGAAAAAGCTGTGACAGCAGCAGCAAGAAGACGGCAGGAAATTAGGCATGTGTAGGGGTTTAAATAAAAAAATTAAACAATATGTAAACCCAGCATTTCCTGTTTCTGATATGTGCCTGCTGTACCATGTGCTTGTATGGAAAAGTATCCTTTTCTCTTTGTATTGTTTCATTTGTACGAAATCTCTAGTGTTCCTACCAGTCCCTCTGCTTTCCTATTAAAAACTGACCACACTAAGCCGGAGAGCACATCCTGGTCAGTTTTATGGCTGTGCTGAGTACTCGGTGTGCTCTCCTCCAACGGTCCCACTGCAGACTTGTCCTGAACTCCCCCCCCCCCCCCACATACACACACACTGGGAAGACCAATGTCCTGCGCTTTCTCCTCCCCCAGCTCTTATGCAGCTTAGAGCAGAGGTTATGTGATCACTTCAAAAAAAAAAAAAAAAAAAGAAACAAAGTATTTAGAGTGTGTGTGTGTTTTTTTTTAATAAAGTTTTATTGAAGAGTTAGGCATAATAATGTTTTATTTCTATCTATACACAAATGTTTTGACTTTCATTTGTATTTTAAACTATATGGGTTGTTTTACAAGGTGAGGGTTTACAAATACTTTAATACCAAGGTGTGGGGGTAACATGGCTAGAACTCAGCTTTGAAATAGGAAAAACAATAAAGAATTTACTGGCAGGATCAACAGGTAACCAAATTGTCCCTGGGGAGTTTAAAAACAACCTATACGATGCAATCTGTCACTCAGCTAAGATTTTTTTTATTTATTTATGTTGTTCGTAATTCTGTTTTAAACTCTGGTGGGTAAAAGTCCTCACTAGCTGGCAGGGACGACGGGCCCGGAGCCCTTTAACGAGGCGGCGATGAAAGGGTTACACGAGGAGGGGGTGGGGAGAAGAAGCCACGGAAATTTCCCACCCAATTGGCAGTCGTGCAGTGTATAATTTTCCTCAAATTGCTCGCTGAGCCTCGGCTTTTGTTTCATAATTGATTTATAGTTTGAGCCACTTTTACCTCATCCCCTACTGTCCTGCACGCAGTGCCAGCGAGTACATTACAGTGAGCAATGATAAATTACCTCGCACTTGAGATGCTAATGCATCAGAAGTAAAACTGGGGACAACACGGGGGCTTCATTAGCAGTGGTAGGAGGCCTCCCCGCGTATTCACATTTTCTCTCAGCCGTGCCCAAGTGTTTGATTACATTTTTCAGTATAACAAGAACGCAGCCGCATCCTTTGAAGCTCCCGATATCCTTTGTTGGCCCGACAAGGGTAGGCAAGAAAATGCACTTGGAAAGTCTTAGAATAGATTTTCTTTTATTTCCATAATGGTATTTTTACTTCTGTGCTGTTTTGAATGAGAGTTTTAGCAGGACATGCGTACGGAGGACATGCGGATGTTGTCATTGTTGAACCCCCCACCCCTCTCGAAAATGCTAGGACCCCAGCATTGTTCTGGTCCAGTGGTTTCAGTACTTTGAGACACCGACCTGGAACAGGTATGTAGAGTAGCGGATATGATTTTATATTGCCTTATCTGAGCTGTATTTTCAGAAGGTCAGTATTGATAGGCCAAACACGATTTCTTCTGCGCTCTAGGACCCAGGCGGGTGGCAAATAGATGGAACCAGAACTGGAAAAAAGCGACCACCGGTGCATCAAAGGTTGTGCGGCTCCAAACAAGGCTGGGGAAGCCCGACCAACACTACAAAGCGAAACAAAAATGAGAAGCGCATAAAACTTGCGCATTACCTCAGTAAACAAAAATTTATTAATAAGAAAGGTACTCACAAACAGCGAATAAAATCAGGCATGTAAGTCCTCACAGGGACTTCAGAGATAGAGAGCCAGCGCGAGTCCCATCGTGGGGGTAGACACTCAGTTCAGTTGATGCGTTTCGAAGGCCAAACCTTCTTCATTGAGCTCTGATGAAGAAGGTTTGGCCTTCGAAACGCGTCAACTGAACTGGGTGTCTACCTCCACGATGGGACTCACGCTGGCTCTCTATCTCTGAAGTCCCTGTGAGGACTTACATGCCTGATTTTATTCGCTGTTTGTGAGTACCTTTCTTATTAATACATTTTTGTTTACTGAGGTAATGCGCAAGGTTTGTGCGCTTCTCGTTTTTGTTTCGCTTTGCAGTATTGATAGGCTTCATGATCTTATATGATCAGTATGAGTTTTCTTTCAGGCCTTGACCAAATGGGCTTTAGCTTGGATAAGAGCAGTATAAACAGCGGCCTGCTAAAAACTCTGCAAATGCTTTATTTCAGGCATTAAGCAGTCTCCTTAACCACTTCAAGTCCGGACACTTTCACCCCCTTCCTGTCCAGGCCAATTTTCAGCTTTCAGTGCTATCACACTTTGACAATTGCGTGGTCATGCAACACTGTACCCATATGAATTTTTTGTGACAGATAAAACTTTATTTTGGTGGTATTTATTCACCACTGGGATTTTTATTTTTTTGCTATATAAATGAAAAAGTCCAAACATTTTGAAAAAAAAAGTTTTTCTTATAAAAGTTTGCAAATAAATAATCTTTCTTCATAAATCTTGGCCAAAATGTATTCAGCTATCTTTTTAGTAAAACAAAATAAAAATAACCCAAATTAGTCTATAACCAAAAGTTTATAATTTTTCAAAAAACTTTTTTACATTTTTTATTTTTTTTTTTTATATGTTTTTTTTTTTTTTTGTTTTCTTCCTACATACTGTCACCCTAGCAGTACAGTGTCACCATAGTGACACTGTACTACTTGTGGGAGGTGATTGAAGATTTTTTTTTTTTCATTTTACCCTGATTGCTTTTACACCCATAAAGGCTGTAAAAGCAATAATTTCTCTTTCTCTGGCTGAATTCTTGCAGCCATTGAGAAATACTGTGAGAGCTGTGATTGGTCACATGGTGCAAGGCTGTTGTGAATAGCCTTGTACCATGTGACCTCTGTGATCATTCACAGATTTCACAAGTAGTAAGCAATGATGTCAGAAAGTGACATCTTGCATACAACTATTCATGTGATCATCAGTGATCACATGATCGGGACCTCACACAGAGGTTCTGAACAGCGATCGGAGTTCACAGCGGGCTGCGCACTCCCAGGGAGCGCGCACAGGCCATGGATGAGGGAGGACGTTTATAAACGCCCACCCGCTCCTGCACTGCTCCCATCTGGCCGTTTATGTACATGGGCCGGACGGGAAGTGGTTAAAGTGGTTGTAAACCCTGACATATACCCAGTGAAGTGACTGGCCTCAGGTGTTGCACAGAAATGAAAAAAATCTGTTTCCCTATACCTGTTTATCTGTATTCTTCTCTTTGCAGTTCAAAATGCAGAATTTATACAGCTTGTCTGAGTTTTCAGAAAGCAACAGGTGCGGAGCTGACACTCTGCAGAGCTCGGTGAGCAGTGCTGAGAGCTGATTGGAGGTCACACAGGAACAGAACTGAGGCTGTCAATCACAGGCTGTTTGCTGGAGCTCCTTCCCCGTCACTTTTTTCTTTTTGTTGTGACATGAAATCTTGTCAGAAATTACTCTTGTGAGACAGCGGACAGAAATGACACTGGATTGAGACAGGTGCACACTATAGAGGGATATGCTTTGTTCCTATATCATGTCAGAGTTTTAAAATCACTTTAAAGCCGAGTTCTAATTATTATTTTTATTGTATTATTACATTGTGCCAAGTTGGACCAATATAAGTGTGCATATCTCATACCTGGGTGCTTGCTGTGGAAGTTGCCAATCATAGTAGTCAGCAGCACTACAGCAGTGATCTTCCATCTCCTGTGCCAGAGTGGCTTCCCTTTTGTTGAATAACCACACGGGTTCACATACTTGGTATTGCTTTCAGAATTTTTTATTGCAAAGAAAGCAAGGATGTTTCGATTGTGCAATGTGGGTGGTGATGTTACAATCTCTACCAGAATTGAGTGTTACTTGTGAGCCACTAATTAAAATCAATACAGGTGCGCTGACCTCAAACACATCCTCTATTCATGTGTATATAAGTACCAAAAAAATGATTGATATATTAATAATTTTTTGGTACTTATATACAGATGTTACAATCTCTACCTCATCCAATCAGTAAATGCCTTGTATTAGTATAAAAAAAAAAAAAAAAATGACAAGGCGTTCTATGAATGTCAGCAAGGCCGAGTAAATGACCCCATGTGATCCCTTTTCAGAAGGGAAGGCGCTCAGCACTGGACGTGGAAGATAGCAGCGATCACTGCCATAGTGGCGACTAAAAAATGCGTTGTCACCTTTCACAACAGTCATTCAGGTATGAGATATGCATACGCAAAGATTTCTGCGCTCCCCCTAAACTCCCTCAATCCAAGCTGGACTAATGTATCTATACAATACAAATCATAACCAGAGATCCACTTTAAGAGAAACTTCACACACTGCTTTAGTTTTTTGTTTTCTCTTAGGCCTTATGTTTTTCATATTGCTGTTAGGGGTGCCAGGCGGGTTTTTTTCTGCCTTTAAACACCCCTGCATGTTAGCCTATGTATCCATGCACACACGGGTGGTTAGAGGCAGAAAAATCCTCCGCTGCCAGCGTGTTCAGGAGCAGCAGTGTTTTGGCAGAAAAAATACTTGAGACGTAAACGCACATTAACGGTAGGTGCCTTTAGAATTTGAACGTTCATTTATTTCAATGGCCAGAATAACTTATAATTCCAGCCAATTAAATTAATTGACGTGCCTTAATTGCATTACATGTATTTACAAGTGTCAGGCGTTTTTTTTTTTTCTTCCAAAACGCTGCTGCCGGGGGAAAGGCATTTAGGAGAGGTGGCCAAATGTCCAATGTGCATGGGGCCTTACCCTATTACCTTGTGCTCAAGAAACATATTCAGCCTTCCTTCAAATCCCATGTCGTTCTATAGGAGTTTGCTGCTCTGCTACCTATTAGGTCTCATGCCACCAGGGACGGACTGACCATTTGGAAACTCGGGCACTGCCCGAGGGCCCAGGGTCACTAGGGGGCCCCATGAGATGCCCCTGGTACCTTTTTCATAGGCTTTTTTGAGTTTGGGCATGGACACAGGGGCCCCATGATCCTCTATTGCCCGGGGGCCCCATGAGTTGTCAGTCCGCCCCTGCATGCCACCATCTTCCTTTCCTATATCATCAGGAGGCGGCTGTCTTTCTGGATCTTGCAGCCTACCCCCAATCTGATATGGATATCCCAGGAGACTGCAAGTGTCAGGCTGATGTCATTCTTGTTTAGGTGAGAATGGAGGAGTATTTGGGGCCGGACAAGAAAAATTTGGGCTCATGCACATAGGACAATTTAAAAATGCTCCTCCACCTGGCAGCAGTGCTTGGCAGAAACACTGCGTGATGATTTTCAGTGTTGAACGCTTTTACAGTCGTTTTATTTGCATTTAAAGGCGTCAAACGTTTGGGCATTAATTAATTTCATTGGCCAGAATAATTATTTATTACAGGTACTTATATAGCGCCGTCAATTTACGCAGCGCTTTACATATATATTGTACATTCACATCAGTCCCTAACCCTCAAGGGGTGTACAATCTAAGGTCCCTAACTCACATTCATGGGCAATAGGGCAATAGGGGATCATGGGGCCCCTGTGTCCTTGCCCACACTCAAAAAGCCTATGAAAAAGGTACCAGGGGCATCTCATGGGGCCCCCTACTGACCCCCCGGGCCCTCGGGCAGTGCTCGAGTTTCCAAATGGTCAGTCCACCCCTGCATACACATACTAGGGCCAATTTAGACAGGAGCCAATTCACCTACCAGCATGTCTTTGGAGTGTGGGAGGAAACCAGAGTACCCGGAGGAAACCCACGCAGGCACAGGGAGAACATGCAAACTCCAGGCAGGAGGTGCCGTGGTTGGGATTCGAACTAATAAACCTAGTACTGCCAGGTGGAAGTGCTAACCATTTAGCCACTGTAATAATAGTTTATTCTGGACAATGCGCCTAGTATTAACACACATCAAGCGTTTTTTTTTTTTTTTTCTGTTGGTAAATGCTGCTGCTACTAAAAGCTTCTAAAAGTCTATGTGTGCATGAACACATAGAATAACATGGAGAGCTGTTTGGAAGCAGTAAAAAAAAAATAAATGCCTGACACCTGAAAAGTAGCTGCAAAAAGCCCTGTGTGCGCGAGGCTTTATTGTCCGCTATTTTAGGTCCAGGACAGGGAAGGATTAATCATGGAAGGACATATTTTAAAGTGACAGTCTGCTTTAAAGCTGTGCTTCAGCCAGGAATTCAATGTGGAGGGGGGGGTTGCATTTTCATGGGAAAAAGCTTCAAAGCCTTTTAAAGCAATCTTTGTAGTCCATGGGGGTTGGAGGCTTTCAAAAAGTTTGCACTTTGACCACCAAGGGCATGTGACCAAGCTTTCCTCCAATCACAAGGGGCCCTTTGCAGCATCTGTAGTGCTTTGCCCTAAACTCCAAAATCAACGAACAGATCTTGCCAAGACCTCCAGTTGTCTGGCAATGTTCATTTTAAAAATCAATCTGCAATGATCCCAGAGAAACATTTTATATATGTGATTTAAAAGTTCTTTACATGGTACCAGGGAGTCTCTCACACACAAGAATGAAAACTAACATTCAAGTTAAATGATGAGAGGTCACAGAAAATAGCAGTCTCTGGCTTGACCATTCCTCAGCAAAGGGCCCTGATTTGTAGTCCTCTCTCCCTGCAAGCTTCTGAGTTTTGATGGTCATGGTTGCCTTTCCCAATCAAAGAGCTCCCAACCATTAGCTCCACCTGAGCTGATTAAATGTTACAAAAATAGATGATTCAGCAGCCTCCCAGTGTACCGTGACTTCCACGTTTGGATTCGTGCAGCCGCTCCACTCCAGGATCTTAAAGCGGTATTGAACCCAAAAAATGTAAAACATTGCAGCTTAGCAATCATTAGATGTGGTGGCTGCATTTTTTTTTTTTTTTTTTTGCAGACGTTTTCTTTTTTTTCAGTTTTTTTTTCTCATTCTGGTGGTCTGATTATAACGTACCTCCTGTATTCCTGCCCCCACTCTGGATGAAGGGGCACAGGGGGCACCTTTGGACAGCAGCATTGTCTGTCTGAGGTGAGGGGGTGTTAGATGTACTAGCAGATTTAAATACACTAATAAATTGAAGCCAAACTCCAGCTCACACAGTTTTTTTTTTCCTTTTTGAAATAAAAGTTCTACATAAAAGCTGCAATAGGGGTCAGCTGCTGTTAATTTTGCTTCTTTATTAGGCAGTTTTGTTGTACAGTTAAATGCTTGTTGCAGAGCAGTATGTGATCATTTAAGGAGAGCGAAAGATATCTTTGAGGGCCTATTCAAACGTCTGCATTGTGGTAAAGCACATGCCCTGCTGTGATGCAATTCATTTGAATGCTACCCCAAAGCACTTAGGCAGTGCACCTCGCATTGCATTACAAAGAAAGGGTCATTTGTGATTTTAGGCATGTTAGACTGCATAGTCTGCACAGGCTGGCTTCAAGCAGACCTTTACCTTGAAAACAAACTTTCTGCCTCTCTAGTCCTCCATTCCGCTACACAAATCTTTTGCTTTTTTTCTCCCCCATTGTACAGGTTTTGGTCTTGCCCCCATCCTCTGTTCTTGCCTACGTGAAATTCCTGCAGTGCTCCTGGTGCCTTCTGGGATATGTAAGTCCCATATTCCAGGAGGCATAGGGGTTGATTTACTAAGACTGGAAAGTGCAAAATCTGGTGCAGCTGTGCATGGGAGCCAATCGGCTACTAATGTCAGCTTGTTCAATTAAAGCAGAGTTCCAACCATTTTGGTGTTTATTAAAAGTCAGCAGCTACAAAAACTGTAGCTGGTGACTTTTAACCACTTCCCGACCGGCCGTTGTATATAAACGGCCGGACGGTGGCACTGCAGGGTCGGGTGGCCGTCTATAAACGGCCTCCCCGCACCCTGCTTGTGCGTGCTCCCTGGGAGCGCGCAGCACCCGCGATCCGGTGCCCGCTGTGTCCTCCGGACACAGTGAAATACCGATCGTCGGACGGGACCTCTGTACGAGGTCCCGATCATGTGATCACTGATTGGCCAATCAGTGATCACATGCAAAGTAGTAAGCAAGATGTCACTTCTGACATCATTGCTTACTATGTGTGAAATCTGTGAATGATCACAGAGGTCACATGGTACAAGGCTATTCACAAGCCTTGTACCATGTGACAAGCTGTGACCAATCACAGCTCACTCTGTATTTCTCAATGAGTGCAGGAATGCACACAGAGAGAAAGAGAAATGATTGCTTTTACATCCTATATGGGTGTAAAAGCAATCAGTGTAAAAAAAAAAAAAAAATCGTTATCACCCCTCACAAGTAGTACAGTGTCACCATGGTGACACTGTACTGCTAGGGTGACAGTATGTAAAAAAAAAATAAAAAATAATAATATAAAAAAAAATAAAATAAAAATGTAAAAAAAAAATGTTTAAAAATTATAATTTTTGCTTATAAACTAATTTGGATTTTTTTTTTTTACTAAAAAGATAACGGAATAAATTTTGGCTAAGATTTATGATGAAATATTATTTATTTGCAAAATTTTATAAAAAAAACACTTTTTTTCAAAAATTTTTGGACATTTCATTTACATAGCAAAAAAAATACAAATCCCAGTGGTGAATAAATACCACCAAAATAAAGCTTTATCTATCTAAAAAAAAATGTAAAAAATTCATTTGGGTACAGTGTTGCATGACCGCGCAATTGTCATTCAAAGTGTGATAGCGCTAAAAGCTGAAAATTGCCCTGGTCAGGAAGGGGGTAAAAGTGTCCGGTCTGGAAGTGGTTAATAAATACACACTTACCTGTCCCAGAGTCCAGCAATGTTCTCACCCGCGCCGTCCCTTCTCTCCTCCACAGCGGTGGGAAGCTCAACTGTGGGCTCCAGGCTGTGACAGTTTGCGGCTTCACAGCCTGGTGCCCACTGCGCATGCGCGAGTCGTGCTGTGCCTCCTAATTGGTCTGGTGGTCTTCTGGGACCTGTGAAAGTTCCCAGGAAACTGCGAGAGGGAGAAGGGGACCAAACGTCTGCCGCATCGAACTGAGCCGGAAGTGGGAGCAGGTACCTGTCAAGAACAGGTGTCCTCTCCCCCACAAAAGGTGCCAAATATGGCAGTGGGGGGGGGGGGGAGACAAATAAGCAGAGCTGCTGCTTTTGAGTGGAACTCCGCTTTTAAGCTTTTAGCAAAAACCTGGAAGCTGATTGGTTTCTGTGCAGAATTGCACCAGATTTTGCACTCTCCACTCTTTTGGTATCCCATTTACAAAAAGGGTGAGCCTAGTGGTGTTTCATTGAGAGGTGGCTGCCTAAACCCAGAAGTTGGCTGCCTCCCAATGATGTCACAGAGGAAAATGGTAGCGGTGGCAGAGGAAAAGTGTATCTGATCAGAACAACGCTGGATCTGCTGGGTGAGTTAGTATCTGATTTGTGCACAGCTCCGAATTCGATAAGCAGGGATTAACAAATAAAGGGGGGGGACTTGAAGTTCCTCAATGCAACATGACATAACGTGCGTTAACACATGTGCATTCATGCACTGCAGAGAAGTAAATGGACCCTTAAACATTTATAACCCTACTTTCAAAAAGGCTGTTTCCTATACATACATCAGCGCCTCCAGAAGGTACGTTGGTGAAGTTACTGCATTGTAGAAAAGCAATGGATTTAAAGTGGAACTTCACCCAAAAGGGGAAGTTGCACTTGTTTGCCTCCTTCCCCCTTCACTACCATATTTGGCACTTTTGGGGGGGGGGGAAGGGGGGAGTGGGTACCTTTTTTTGACAGGTACCCGCTCCCACTTCCGGTCAGATGCGCTTTGGCGATCTGAGCTGGACGTTCGCCCTCAACCCCTCTTTCACCCGCAGTCTTCTGGGATTCTTCACAGGAAGACTGTGGAACCATTCACTTGGGTGAGGACATTGCTGGATCCCTGGACAGGTAAGAGTCATTCTATCAAAAGTCAGCAGCTACAGTATTTTTTTTTGTTGGGGGACCTGGAGCAACGCTTTAAGTGGTGGCAACCGTATTTGTGAGGTGAAACCATAAACTGTATAATATCTTAATATAAAGGATTAGTGTCCATTGCTGCATTCAAAATGGCTGCCACCACCACAAAGAAAAAAAGCTGCGCGCTAGTCAGGACAGCCACCCTGTCCACAGCCCCCCCCCATGTTACTTGTACACATCAAAACCACTGAACGTTTCGCCTCCCAACAAAAATAGCTGCTAATTTTCTAACCCGTAGAATAAAGCGACAAAGGATTTCGGAACGATCCCTTTAATATGTCGATGCCTGCCACAGTGTGAAATTGAAAATTAAAATTTCTGAGGGAAACTGGAGAGGGGAAAAAAAAAAAACCCTTCTTTGAAACATTTGTTTAGAGAGCGTAAGCTGAAATGCCTAATTAATTCTTGCTTCCTGGCTGACATGTATAAATGATGGCCGCTTGCCTGTCCGCAGCGTCCACCTTATATCGTTAAAGTTGCGCTGCCTGCGAGTTGCCGTCTCAGAATCCGGAGACGCAGATTAATGGAAGCTGCTGGGCACAACAAATTAAGTTGACGTTGATGTATGAGAACATAATAGCATGATGATCCCTGCGTTACATCGCCGGGCACCTCCCGCTTCATTTGGCTCTTGTTAGGATCGGTTAGGAAGGAAAGTGATGAAATTTTGCACAGTGTGTTCTGATGGGTTTTCTCTCTTCTTCTCTTTCTTGCCCTCAGACTCATCCAAATGCCAGCAAGCTGCCCCTAAAGGATGCATTCACATTTGATGACTACAGGTTGGTTATTTATTTTTTTTCCCGTTGCTCTATCAAAGCACCCAGAGAGGCAGATTAGCTTTCATTTATCGAATTTAGAATGAGCTAGACAGTCCTTGGCATTTGTTTTAAAGCTGAATTCCAGGCGGAGATTAAAAAATAGCTTTAAAAAAATGTAATGTAGTTAGATACGTTAAAATCACGAAATGTGTTTTTGAAATGCAACTGGGGTCAGCACCTGAATTTGATTGATGCTACCCTATACAGGATCATTGAAATGGAGGAGGGAGAGTCAGCATTATTTGCCAATCAGGTGTGCTGCAGAGCACATGTGCTAACAAGGAACATGCTGAAGGGTGGAGAGATCATTGTGAGCGGAGAAATTAGCTCATTAGTCTACTGCTGCTGCTCTTTCACTGTAAAAGGCTTGGGGGGAGAAGGGGAGGGTAGTTACCAATCTGTGTTGTTTAAAACGAATATTCATTTTTTTTTTTTAATTCAAATAAAAAAGATTTTATGTGTACCTACTTTGTGCAAAAATACTGCACAGAGCATTCCCTCTTCTTTAGCAGTCCCTTGCCAGTGATGTTCTCTCCTCCAGGTGCCTCCTTTGCAAGTTGGATGCTGTGGAGGCACCCGTGCGTAAGTGCTTCTGTGCTGGGCTGTGTGCATTCATAGACACACAGAGCTGGTAAGCCACTCCCAGTCCCTCTTCACAGGAGTTTGACTGACAGCAGCAGGAACCTCTGCCTCTCCCTGCTCTCAGTGTCTCCTGTGAGGCCAGGAAGTGAACGAGCAGTGTTACAGCCAGGACAGTGCTGGTGCAGTGATAGGAGTCAGGTAAGTGTTTTAGGGCTGGGAGTGGGTAGGGTAGGTGGCGGGGAGTTTGTTTTTTTTTTTTTTTTTAACCTAAGAAAGTTAATTAAGGTAAAAAAACATTTTAACTTTAGAACTACTGACTGCATTATAAATAGTCATGTCACCAACCAGGCTCTGGTTTCATAGGCTTCCATTTATGTTTCAACTCTGTATTTAGCAGTTTACCTGGAGTTCAGCTTTAAGTGTAGGTTCACAATAAACACTCACTGTCCTTGCAATATGCAGCGGGTGTCACTGCAATGTTACGCAGGTTGCAAATGTAGTGAGTTTGCGGCACCAAATCGCATGGTAGAAAACCTACCATGCAGTTCAGTTGCAGCCTGGAGTGATGTGGTGCAATTTTAAGCCATTCAAAATGAATAGGCTCAGATCGCACTGCAATGATTCGTATGTGAATTACACAGGATTGTGGTGCACGTTCCTGTGCAATTTATGGTGTGAACTGGGCCTAAAGGGTAACTGTAGCCAAGTTATTCTATAAATGTATCGATTTGAGAATTTGTAAAGTGTATCTATACCAAAACTTCTAGAGAGATTTCCTCTCACTTCCTGTTTTTGGGAATTACACAGGATTGTGGTGCACATTCCTGTGCAATTCATGGTGTGAACTGGGCCTAAAGGGTAACTGTAGCCAAGTTATTCTATAAATGTATCGATTTGAGAATTTGTAAAGTGTATCTATACCCAAAGCTTCTAGAGAGATTTCCTCTCACTTCCTGTTGTTGGGAATTTTTTTTTTTTTTACCAGGCAATAAGTGAGGGAAAATCTAAATTAGACAACAATACAAAGCTGACAGAGGTTCCAGCAGTCTACCACTTCAACAGAACAAGATGTCCTGCAGAAATAGCAGTTAGGGGGTTGAGACAAACCATTTATCATTGACATGGGTGCTTACAATGGTCAGATTTTATTTACTTCTGCTGCTCAAAAAAATGAAAGGAACACTCTGAGAACACATCATATCTCAATGGGGAAAAATATCATGCTGGGTATCTATACTGATATGGACGGGGTAATGTGTTAGGAACGTAAGGATGCCCCATCGTTTGATGGAAATCAAAATTCAAAGGTCCCCCCGAAAATCTAAGTAAAAAAAAAATGATGCAGGCTAGTCCATTTTGCTGAAATTTTATTTCAGCAACTCAAAATGGTGCTCGGTAGTTTGTATGGCCCCCACGTGCTTTTATGCATGCCTGACAACATTGGGGCATGCTCCTAATGAGACGACGGATGGTATCCTGGGGGATTTCCTTCCAGATCTGGACTAGGGCGTCACTGAGCTCCTGGACAGTCTGAAGTACAACGTGTAGGTGTTGGATGGACCGAAACATGACATCCCAGAGTGTTCTATTGGATTTAGGTCAGGCGAGCGTGGGGGCCATTCATTGGTATCAATTCCTTCATCCTACAGGAACTGCCTGCATACTCTCGCCACATGAGGCCGGGCATTGTCGTACGCCAGGAGGAACCCAGGACCCACTGCACCAGCGTAGGTTCTGACAATGGATCCAAGGATTTCATCCCGATACCTAATGGCAATCAAGGTGCCATTGTCTAGCCTGTAGAGGTCTGTGTGTCCCTCCATGGATATGCCTCCCCAGACCATCACTGACCCACCACTAAAACGGTCATGCTGAACGATGTTACAGACAGCATAACGTTCTCCATGGCTTTTACAGATCCTTTCACGTCTGTCACATGTGCTCAGGGTGAACCTGCTCTCATCTGTGAATAGCACAGGGCACCAGTGATGGACCTGCCAATTCTGGTGTTCAATGGCAAATGCCAATTGAGGTCTATGGTGCCGGGCAGTGAACACAGGGCCCACTAGAGGACGTCGGGCCCTCAGGCCACCCTCATGAAGTCCATTTCTGATTGTTTGGTCAGAGACATTCACACCAGTGACCTGCTGGAGGTCATTTTGTAGGGCTCTTGCAGTACTCATCCTGGTCCTCCCTGCACAAAAGGAGCAGATACCGGTCCTGCTGATGGGTTAAGAACCTTCTATGGTCCAGTCCAGCTTTTCTAGAGTAACTGCCTGTCTCCTGGAATCTCCTCCATGCTCTTGAGACTGTGCTGGGAGACAAAGCAAACCTTCTGGTAATGGCATGTATTGATGTGCCATCCTGGAGGAGTTGGACTCCTGTGCAACCTCTGTAGGGTCCAGGTAAGGCCTCATGCTACAAGTAGTGACATTGACCCTAACCAAATGCACAACTAGTGAAAAACAGTCAGAAAAGATGAGTGGGGACAAAAATGTCAGTGGCCTCCACCTGTAAAACCGTTCCTGTTTTGGGGGTTGTCTTGTTTTTTGCCCATCTAGTGTACCTGTTGTTAATTTCATTAACAAACAAGCAGCTGAAACTGATTAACATCCCCCTCTGCTACTTATCTGACCAGACCTATATCCCAGGAGTTTTTGACTTGATGCTAGACTCTGATGAAAAAAAAAGTGTTCCTTTAATTTTTTTGAGCAGTGTATTTATGTAAAACCTTTATGCCAAAAGGAACAAAACTGTTGCTATAACGGATTATAAAGTGTGAGCTAGAGTTTGGCTTCAAATTGTTAGAGAATTTAAATCTGCTAGTACAGCTAACACTCCCCTGCCCCAAATTACCAATGCTGTTGTCCAAAGTTGCCCCCTGTGCTCCTTCACCCAGAGTGGGGGCACTCTAATACAGAAGGTGTGTTACTGATCAGATCACTCGGTGAAAACAGAGGAAAAAAATAATGCAGCCATCACATCTAATAATTTGTAAGCTGAGGGTTGAAGGAAAAAAAAGACTTTATTCCCCCATTTATACACTCAGCGTGGATGGAAAAATCCTTTCCGTTGAACTGTTGTATTCTGGCAGCGAGGAGACTTCCCTTCCTTCAGAATGCACTGATCAGTGCAGCCGGCTATAGCCAGCGGCACTGATGGATCTAGAAAAACCTGAGAGTGGTTGCAGAGAAGTCGATATGTAGATTGATCTCTATACTACCAGCCTGCTCATACATGGATCAAAAGTTGGATGGTCCCTACTGAATCGGCTGAATTTGTATCCATACATGACTAGCTTAAAGTGTTACTAAACCCACAACAGTACAAGCAAGTCTGTATATGTAGTAAAGCATGCTTGTTGTACTCACTGTGGAACCTAAGGGGTTTATTCACCACATTATTTGAAAAGGCTGTTTGATTCTGTCTTTTCTGATCCTCCCCTTCTTTTACTGTCCCCAATCCATCTGCTCATAGTACAGAGCCTAGGAGGCACTCTGCACATGCTCAGTGTGGTGTGTTTTGCTAGAGAGGTGTTTTTTTTTATTGGTTTTTGTTTTTTTTCTTTTTTGGAGAGTGCATGTGATCAACACAGGGCCAATCAGAATTGTCCAGACAGAGGGTCAGGGGTATACAGTCTCCTAGGACAGTCATAGGAAAATGAAAACTCCTCCTACAAGATTAACCAGTGCTCAGCCCGAACACTGATAGAAGTCACAAGGCTGCTATATACTACTGTGAGAGACCAGATATAGTGAATTCAGGGTCCTGGGTTTAGTAATACTTTAGGACCTGACAGGAGCTGTATTACCCACCCCTACAGCCTCTTTGCTGGGAGCTGCACTCTTCGTCTTCTGGCTGGGCTCTGCTTCTTTTGCACAATTTCTATTCATTCCAAGGACATTTGTCCTAGTGATGGGTTGCCCTGCCATAGAAATAAATAAAAGCAGCGTCCAGCTGGGAGGCTTCTAGAGAGCTGCACAGCGAATTACAAGGCTCATTCACATGGACGCAGAGGTTTGTATATTGCATGTTTATGTGTCTTTTTATGCACCCTTGAGTGATAGACGCTCTGTGCATCCACCGCCAGCAGCCTGTTAAAAAAATCAATGACAGGAGCTCCTGTATCTTTCCACACATCCGAGCGTTTACAGTGTGCATTCAGGGCCATGCATCCATCCCTGTACCTATGTAGATATTACCATGTTCGGGGAAGATCCATAAATCTTCTGCATTGGTCAGCCTGTCACTGAGTTTTACCACTGGCAGCGGGTGCCCTGAACATCTCTCACTCCCAGATGCGTCAACATGTATATCAACTTGCTGAATGGGCCTCTGCACCTGTGTGAATGTGCCCTACATGTACTCAAAGTACAGTTGTCTTTGAAAGAAAACCTGTCCTATAAGAAATAAGGGGGCTGTCACTGACAACCTGTCCCCCCCCCCCTCCTTTATGAGGGAGGTGATGATGCATGAAGACACACACACTGCAAATACTGTCATATGCAGGCCATAGACGGGGAGAAAACCGGCCTATTTTTCGGCCGAAAAAAAAAAATCGGCTGATTTTCGGATCGTTCGTGGGGTAATCGGTCGGCTGTTTTTCGTGATTTTGACACTTTTTTTTTTTTTTTTTGGTTGGTCATGTTGGAAAAAAAAATCGGCCAATTTTGTCATTCGGCTGATTTTCGCGGCAATGATGGACAAATGATGGACAAATTGGCCAATCTTTTTACCGATTTTAAAAAATGCGCATGAGCAGTGACCAGCAAGAAGAAGAAAAAGAAGAAATAGAATATGAATAAGAAGTAGAAAAAGAAGAAATAGAATATGAATAAGAAGAAGAAAATAGAATATGAAGAAGAAAGAAAAAAAAGAAGAAATAGAATATGAATAAGAAGAAGAAAAAAAAAAGAATTTCAGTCCGATATTATATTTGACATTTAAAAGTATAGCAACATTGTATCTATTGGTATCCAAATAGAAACCTCTGTATCCGAAATGGATACAAATAGATACATTGTTGCAAATTTTTCTTCTTCTTATTCATATTCTATTTTTTCTTTTTCTTCTTCTTATTCATATTCTATTTCTTCTTTTTCTTCTTATTCATATTCTATTTCTTCTTTCCTCTTCTTATTCATATTCTATTTCTTCTTTCCTCTTCTTATTCATATTCTATTTCTTCTTTTTCTTCTTCTTATTCATATTCTATTTCTTCTTTTTCTTCTTCTTATTCTATTTCTTCTGTCAAATATAATAGCGGAGCTCTCTGCAGGGACACCGCTATTATATTTGCTGGCCGTAGACAGGACGAAAATCAGCCGACTTTTTCTTACCAATGGTGGTAACATCGGCCGATTGAACGACCGATTTTTCGTTTAAAAAAAAAAAAGAAACGGCCGGTTTTCTCCCCGTCTATGGCCTGCAATAGACTGTGTCCATATGTTGACAGTAGAGAGACTATTATCTTTGGGAATCACTGACTTGCAGATTCCAGGCTCATTCTTCAGAAGGTTAGTACACCAAGGTAATGGAAGAAATAGGGTTTTATTTAGTAGGGACATCTACAAAAATATTGTACGAATCTATTTCTGTACCCAATTGTCACATTTCAGTGGAGTGTACCTCTATTGTTTTATTTTGATTTCTTACTGCACAAGCAGACATTTGTTAACACGTGTTTTCCTGGGTACAGATGGGCCGTGTCCTCCGTCATGACGCGTCAGAATCAGATCCCTACAGAGGACGGTTCACGGGTGACTCTGGCATTAATTCCACTCTGGGACATGTGTAACCACACCAATGGCCTGGTAGGTGATGCTTTCTGCTTTGTTTAGTAAGTACTGGTAGAAATATGTATTGATACGTATATCATATCTAAAGGCATACATCTTTTAAATATATACATCCTCTGCTTTCAGAAAATACATGCTGGAAGTTAATTAGTGATTTTTCAAGTCCATAAATTCATGAAGCATGTGAAAAATTGACTATTATTGAGGCTATTACTTAGCCACCAAGGAATAACTGACACTCATGTATGGGGGAGCATGTGACCTCCTCCCATGATGCGGCGTTCAGCCCTTAGCGTCTAATCACTAGTCAACCCTTCATCAACCCTGTATAAGCTCCAATACCATCCAACATAGAGCTTACCCAGTGTCAGGACTACTCAGTGCGGCACAGTCCTGTGCGGAAAATAAGTATATGTGGGGGTTGGGAGCCTTAAAGTGGTTGTAAAGGCTCAAGGATTTTTTTTCACTTTCATACATTCTATGCATGAAGGTAAAAATCCCTTCTGTGTTCAGCATCTTCCCCTAATACTTACCTGAGCCTCATCACGATCCAGGGATGTGCACAAGAGACTCTCCATCCTCATTGGCTGCACAGAGCAGGTAAGTATAACATGTTTGTTGTTTGATAGCATTTTGTTTTGTTTGAGAGCAAAATAAGTCATATTTAGGCAAACGGCAAAGGGGTTGAAGTGGAAAATGTGTCAAGACAAAGCCTAACTTTGTAGAGCCTAAGTACAAGGCAGACTGGGCATGGATACAAAATGGCTTTGGCTGCTGTTTCTGGAAATTAATTCTGTTTTGAGTTCTTGGTTTACATCATGAAGCCCTAAAAGCTAATTCCACTTTCATGGGAAAAAGAAATGGCCAAAAAAAAATATATATATCCCAAATACTTCCAAAGGAAAATCGCCCAAAGGGATGCAGACCCTGCCACTTTCCTCTTTATAACCCTGCAAGTGCAGCATCTTATTGATAATTATAAAGTAACTCCTATTCACATTCACTTTGCACATGGACACAGACATATGAGCAGCTATTTCTTAGGCTTCGTTCACGCTTCACTTTATTTGTAACTCCTGCCAAATGCCCCTATAGCGTTTGACGGGCGTTTGGGAAACGGTTTTAAAACGCTCCCCAAACTCCTTATGCGCGTTTTTGCAACATTTGCAAAGCATTAAAACTGCACCACAAATGCCTGTAATGAAGTTTAATGGTATTAACGCTGCAAACTCCTGCCAGGCATTTGAGAAACGTCACCATAGACTTGAATGGGAGGCTTCAACTCCTCCTGACTGGACTTGAGGCGTCCGTTTTGCCACAACGCTAATGCTTCCGTGTGAACAGCACTGTGTGCTGCCATGTGCAGAATTTTCATAGCCCTTTTCAGAAGCATTAAAAACGCTTCCCAAACGCCTGTCTGATGCCTGCTGACAAAGCTAGTGTGAACGTAGCCTTAAAAATAAAAAAACTAGGACGTTTGTTAAAACCCTTGCAATGTACATAGATCACCCAGAAGGGAATGTTTTTTTCACAACAAAAGTGGAGCTACTTTTTAAATACATGCCCGGGTCCACCTAGAGGAAATATGGAGCCCTCCCCCATGGCAACCAATCACGTTTCATCCCTCAAGTGAACCTTGACTGGTGGAGGCAACAGTTCTAGTTTTCTCATATCCGCCACTTTGATGTTCCCATCAATTTTTGATCAAATTCTTGCATTATAAATCCTGTTTGTTTCCGAGGTGTATATTCGTGCTGGCCTTTGACCCGCTGATAGTAGGAAGTCTTCTTTTCATATATGTCAGTATAGCCGCACTTTTCCAGAAGCCAAGAGCTTTCATAGTGCAACAAACTTTGTGCAGCTCATGTGAAATGTAGTTTTGAATCGTGCATTGACCTGAGGAGCTGGTCCACCTATTCCTAGGTTCTTACCCCATTTTACAGCCATGTTGTGGCTGTGCAGAACACTACATTTCTTCCTCATTGATATGGGATAGGTATAGGGAATGTCTTTTATTTCACATCAGGAGGAATGACAGTTCATGTATAATTGTTATTTTATCATGAACCGTTTTATAATAAGCCCCTGGAAAGAGCACTTATCAACCAGCCAGTTCCAAAATGACACTGGATATGGCAGTTGAATTATGATTGGCTATTGTATTTGCTTTTAGACCCTTTGTGTCCTATAATAATGGCACAGATCATGCCTGATTTTTATATTTTGAGACATTTTTAGAATATTCAGTAAAGGTAAGTGTAGAGAGCCAAGCTGATTAGCAGCACACATTTTTCTATCAAGCAACCAATCAGAAGTAATTAACTGGCTGGACAAAAAGTGACACTGCCAGGAGAAATGGCATTGCCAAACTCCTTCAGAAGTTTCTGCTCCCATGGCTGTCATAATGATCAATCTGCTTCCTTACTTATTGAACCACTGACCCAGAACAAGTGGCACTTGAAGTCAGAATTCCTGTTTAAAAAACGGTCTCTGGACAGGGACTGGCATGTTAAAGTAGAATTCCAGCCTAAACCTAACTAGTATAAAACTGCTTCCTCCCTCTTCCTAACACCTATGCTGACTAACCTGTGTTTAAAAAAAAAAAATTGTGTATATATATATATATATATATATATATATATGTGTGTGTTTATGTATGTGTATATGTATATATATATGTATGTATGTATGTGTGTGTGTGTATATGTGTATATATATATATATATATATATATATATATATATATATATATACACACACACCCTATTTTTATCCCAACATTTGGTCTGGTCACATGATCTGGTTGCCCTTTGGCAGTTAGTGGTGGCTGCAGGACAGAGGAGAGAGCACCGACAATGGATGGATCATGGGAGCCTATGGGTGACGTCACCATTCCTGGAATCTCCAGCCATTGTCAAGCACTCTTTCCTCTCCCCTGCAGTCGCGGCTGCCTGAAGCAGGGGATCAATTGACCAGACCGGAGAGGCTGAAAATGAGCAAGTATATACCTTTTTTTTGTTTTGTTTGTTTTTGTTTTTTTTTTTTTTTCTTTTGTTTGTTTTGTTTTTACCCAGGTTAGTCAGCATAGGTGTTAGGAGGGGTGAGGGGACATTGTTAAGGCTAGTTAGGTATAAGCTGGAATTCTACTTTAACTCGGAGGAATATTCTAACAATCAATGAGGTAGAAACTTTCAAATAGACCAGCACTAAAACATTGGCACCCCGATTCTGGCAGACAAGTTAGTGTTGGAGAGGAATTGATATTATAATAGTTATTAGGTTGCCTTGTAGGATGAGAGTTATGATTTCTTGGAGAGAGGGCCTAATCGTAGATTAAAATGAACCAATATTAAGGAAATAAATTTGCAAAGTAAAGCTGGGAAACCACAGGTTGAAAATTGGCCACTTGAGCAGGAACCAATCGACTTTCAGTCAGTGTATACAGCTATATGTCCATCAGAAGCTGGCCTGACAAATGCCTTTCGACAAAAGGAACATGCTGGAAAACCAGAATCCAATCAGCGCTTGCAGCCAATGGCGGTGACCAGTGTATTTTGCTGGGGAGGGGGGTCTCCCTGTCAGAATACAATAGCACAGCCGGGAGAGATTGCCGCACCAACATCACTTGTGTTGGTACGACAATCTGTTTTTTGTTTTTTTTTTTTGTTTTTTAACCTAGCAAAAACTTGCAGTGTGTACTGGGCCTCAGCCTTAAAAGTAAGGTTGCTGCTCCTTTTTTCACCAGGCTCCCAGCCTCAGTCTGCCAATGGAGTCTCCTGAAAAATGTATTCTAATACTGACTTTTTTAAAGTCAGTATTTGCATAGGGCTAAATACACTCTGCTTGTGAGAACACTCAGAGCTGGTGATTGGCCACTTGGGGCAGAGCCCTACATGGCGGGAGACAAGGGGAATACTCATGTATATCCCAATCTTTGAAGTACCTGGTTTTTGGTTTGGCTCTGGTAGCAGGTCACATTTAGTAGGTGGTCTTTTGCTGCTTAACCCGTTGTCACTACTGTGTCTCGTGGTGGGATAGAAACTGGCAGAAGAGAGCACAGACTGGGAGCAGGCATCCAGTACTCTTAGAAATGTTGGATGCTGAAGATTGTTCAGACAGGGTAGCGCTTGAAGACCATGGAGATCAGAAGCATGAACTGTGGGAAGCGTAACTATTAATCCTTTTATTTAAAGGAAGCCCATTTTGAAGCTTTTTTTTTTTCCAAGTAGCGGCACAGTCACCATGTCCTTTTTGGGTTAGAGCAGTGGTCTCCAAACTGCGGCCTGGGAGCCAGATGCAGCCTTTTGCTTGCTTCTATCCAACAGTGGGGAATAATTCTCCTAATGACACCAACAATGGGGCAGTTTCTCTGGAAAGCACCTCCTCAAGAAATATAACTGCACAGAAGGAATTCCACTATGGCAGAAGAGGTGTTTCTGTGATGACAGGTCCCCTTTAATCTGCAATCTCTTTAGTGCACTTTGCACTACCTCGTGAAATAAACCCCATCTTGCGCCCATCCTCCCGTTGGCACATTCAGCATAACGGCTGCAGCAAGCAGGTGTTAAATGAGAACCCAGTTTTGCTTCTCTTAATACGGCGTGTTTGTGATCCCCAGTAGGTTTCATAAAATATTCAGCTCCAAACCTGTCACGTCAGGTGGAACAGAGTCGCACGTTGAATGATTTTCATTAATGTTTCATGCCGTCTAAAGAGACAATCTCCCTGCAGGTAAAATAGTATCTAATGAGTTGAAATCTTTATTCATTACTTTTTTCCCCTCTTGCTTAGATAACTACCGGTTATAATTTAGAGGATGACCGATGCGAGTGCGTGGCGTTGCAGGAGTTTAAAGCCGGAGAACAGGTAAGATGTGGCAGAGTGGACCATTTGTGAATTAAGAACCATATTGTGAGTTTGTAGCCGGAGGGCAATTGAGGGATGTCTACAGAGAGCCTGAATAATTACTATGGCGACTTACTCTTATAGAGCCTGAGAATATTCACATACATCTGTTTATAAATAACCTGATCGAAAATTCCCCTTTATGTGTAAGCAGAAGGAATCTGCCCACGTTATGTGATTTAGTAAGCCAATTATCCTTAAAAGGCAACGATGTCTGCCGCACCAAAACATTATTTTACATTTAAATTAGATCTAAAACTAAACAGGATGATGTGTAGTTTGTTAAAGCACTGTGTAGCATAAACAATTGCCATATTTAAAAAAAAAAATAAAAAACTGTTTTTGCTTTTTTAAATTTTATTTTGCATCTTAATTGTGCTGATTTCCTGCAAGCTGTTTTAGCCATTTCATGTCTATATGCCCTCGCTCTGGTGTTGGCAGCAAATCATTGTCTTGACCAAATTCCTGATGGTTATAATGGTGAACCATGCCTGCGCAATGAGCAACAGGACAGACGCTTTTTTTAAATTTTTTTTTTTAAGTAATTCATGTGACAACGCAGGCGCACAATTAGGAAACCATTGTCACCCCACAGCAGGAAGTATCTAAATAAAGGTTTTCATGGCAGGGTAGCCGGGCATTCTTTAACTGAAAGCTGCAGATTAAAAAAAAAAAACAAAAACAAAAGCCACTTTTGAAAGTATAACATTATTTTAGTGATTGGGAGTATCTAACCCTTCCCTACCAAGTGGAAAAAGGGAGGCTTTACCCCTTCTAGTTTGTCCTAACCAATTACAATAGAAAGGCGATTTGACTGAGTTTCAATTTAAGGTCAGTTGGTGAGCTGTTACTATTCATTGCACTGCATAATAGAACTGCAAATTCTTTGTTTGTGAAACAAAAGAATGGGGATGTTTACATTATAAGACATTATGATGAGCACACTGAAGGGTACACATGACAAAGCAGAGTTGGTTAGACTTTTGGGCACTTCATAAACTGAACCTCATCTCACTGCACATGAAATTCTCATTCATCCCCCCCCCCCTCTTTCTCCTCTCCCCTCTCTATCCCCCCTCTTTCTCCTCTCCCCTCTCTATCCCCCCTCTCTTTCTCCTCCCTTCCCCCCCCTCTCTTTCTCCTCTACCCCCTCCTCTCTCTCTCCCCCTCTCTCTCCACCCCCCCTCTCTCCCCCTCTCTCTCTCCACCCCCCTCTCTCTCCACCCCCTCCCCCCCTCTCTCTCCCCCCTCCCCTCCTCTCTCTCCCCCCTCCCCTCTCTGTCTCTCCATCTCCCCCTCACCCTCTCTCTATCTCCTCCCCTCTCTCTCTCTCCCCCCCTCTCTCCCTCTCCCCCCCTCTCTCCCCCCCTCTCTCTCCCCCTTTCTCTCTCTCTCCCCTCTCTCTTTCTCCTCCCCCCTCTCTCCCCCCTTTTCTCCTCCCCCTTTCTCCTCCCCCCTCTCTCCTCCTCCTCTCTCTCCACCCCCCCCTCTCTCCCCCATCTCCCCCCTTCTCTCTCCCCCCTCTCCACACCCTCTCTCCCTCCCCCCTCTCTCTCTCCCTCCCCCCTCTCTCTCCCTCCCCCCTCTCTCGCTCCCCCTCCCCTCTCCCCCTCTCACCCCCCCTCTCTCTCCTCCTTTCTTCCTCTCTCTCTCCACCCCTCCTTTCTCCCTACTCCCCCCCTCTCTCCCCCCCTCTCTCTCCCTTCCCCCCTCCCTCCCCCTTCTCCCCCCTCCCTCTCTTTTCACTTTGATTTTCGGGGTGTCTGTGAATTCAGTCCTCTGTACGTTGATAATTTTCATTTCCATCAAACGATTGGGCATCCTTACATTCCTAACACATTACCCTGTCCATATCAGTATAGATATCCAGCAGGAGATTTTTCCCCATTGAGGTCTGATGTGTTTTCAAAGTGTTCCTTTCATTTTTTTGAGCAGTGTATATAAAATCCATGACCCTCTCACCTCCTGTGTCAATTATTGCTGTGAGTTTGGAGGTCTACTTCTCATCCCTTTTTGTTCTGAGGTCCCTGTACTTCTATTGCATTATCCTCACCTAGCCTCCCTTTTATATAGGTGCATGATTCTCTCAGTCCCTTCCTTAACAGAGGCCTGGTACTCTACCCTTCATTGTTATACATTCAGGATCTCCCTCATCCAAGATTTTAGGATACTATGCTTCAAGCCACAGTTGTTGTCCAATATTCATGCTTTGAGGTCACTGATTGCATAGCCTAGTTTTTGGCCTTTACCAAACAAACATTTTTGTTTTCTTGACCACTTTTGCTGTTAACCTAAGTTTCCCCCCCACCTGTTGTTCCCTTTATTATGATGATGCTTGGTTGGCCTCCTCCACTGTATTGTTGAGGTCCATTATTCTTGAAGATAAGTTTCCTTCACTGGTGATACCTGTCCTGATCTGGAGCATCAGATTAATTATTGATGCCTTTCATTATAGTAGCAATTTTCCATATTGATACCTGATGTTTTTTTCTCTGGCATTTTCACCAATTGTTCCTTCAGATACACTTCTAGTAAGATTTCCACATCAGTTGGATCCTGAAAACCTGTGGATGTCCCTCATATCTATGATTTTCTTATATCCATTTGTTGCTTAACGGATGATCAAAAAAATGATTTAATTGGTGCAAAAATCGTATTTTCTTGTAGTCCTTTGAGGGACACAGGTCCAGTCACTTTGTCTCAGCCCTTGTACTACTTGCTGACAAAACTGATGCATAATGGTTAGCGATGAAGTTATAGTGGGTGGGCCATCGCATTTTTTTCTGTTTGCTAGTGTCTCATCTCCTAACGGTAGCTGAATAAAACCCACATGTCTATGTGTGTATATGTTTTTTATATATATATATATATATATATATATATATATATATATATATCATATAAAAGCTCTGTTTTTAAAACTCTTAATAGTCTGTCAGGTTAACTTTAACCGCCTGTCATAACCTAACCTCCAACTAATGCTCATCAGTAAATTAACCCCTACAGGAGCATACCTGCCTTATCTAGTCTGAAACCTGAAGCTTTGATATTCAATCCTACTAGTCCGTCATCAAGATCTATCGACGCTCAGATTTTTTTCATGAATATCTGAAGTATCAGACTTTTACAGACTGGTCCCTTTAATATCCTGTCCAGCATATACAGCTCAAGCCTCAGCTGTGCATGTCATTGGTGTTGTCTGCTTGTCTGAGCCTGCCAGCCTCACAGAAGAAACCTTTTATGGATCGAATTTGCGTCTCACGCATAAACCACACAATCACTTTTACGGGGTGGAAGATGGATAATAATTATTTTGCTATCATAGTTGGATAAACAGAGCAGTGGGTGTCTCTTGTCCAAATGCAGAGAATATATTTTATATTAGGCTTCCCCCTTTTCTTTGTGATTCTTTCTTATCTCTTTTCTCTTGTCCAAACGCAGATTTACATTTTTTACGGCACTCGGTCAAACGCTGAGTTTGTCATCCATAACGGATTTTTCTTTGAAAACAATGCTCATGACCGGGTGAAGATAAAACTAGGTGTCAGTAAGAGCGACAGGCTGTACGCCATGAAGGCCGAGGTCCTAGCCCGAGCAGGCATCCCGACGTAAGTAGCATTTGTGTCCATCTTTTCTTGGAACACTTCAAATAGTTCTTGTGTAACCGGTGCTGTACCACAAAGCTTGCCATAGTTGTATTTCATGGTGTGATGAAGCCAGCGTTGATAATAAGTTATGCTGAGAAGTTTGTGTGAAGTGACACTCAAGTCTTCATTTGCTTCATGGCCCTTCAGGTGCCTCCTGCTGGTAAGGGGATTAGAGACTATGGAGATCAGCAGACTGCTGTTCCTTCATTGTCCAATCATCAAGCTGGCATTTTGTTTTGACCTGATGTTATTCTGTCAGATGCTGATTGTAATCTGTCTCTTTTTACAGTTCCAGTGTGTTTGCTCTGCATGTCACAGAGCCTCCGATATCTGCTCAACTGCTGGCCTTTCTTAGAGTCTTCTGCATGAGTGAAGGTGAGATATCTGAACTGTCTGTTATGGCCGGATGCAATTAACCATAGCAATCTGACCAGCTGTAGATTAGATTTTCTTTGGCTAACCTGATAAAAGCAAGAAATGATCTTGACTTTGAGCATCACCTGCAGTTGGTCTGCCCCTAATGCACTAGAGCAGGGGTGGGCAAACTGCGGCTCTCCAGCTGTTGTGGAACTACATTTCCCATGAGGCATTGCAAAGATTACAAAACTGACAATTACAGCTATGACTTGCAGAGGCATGATGGAACTTGTAGTCCTGCAACAGCTGGAGAGCCGCAGTTTGCCCACCCCTGCACTAAAGGGAGATATCAAGCACATCTGTTAAGTCAGACATACATGGATCAAAATTTGTCTGGCTCACCAGGGATGGGCCGAAATTCAATCCATATATGGGCAGGGAGGTTGAAGAGAATTCGACCTACTGATCAACTTCTGTACAACCACCCTGCTTGATCAGTGCTGCAGGCTATAGCCTCCAACATATGCACATAAGAAGTTTGTTTCAACACAAAACAATAAAATCAACAATAAAGATGAGTGAAAAGTCGAATATATCAAAAGTGCAGTAATGCTAAAATCTTCAACACACTTGCAAAAAAAACTGAGACCGGTAAAGCATGCCTATTAAATGAAAATATCTGGAAGAGATGACCAGACACCTTGTGCCCTCCACCACAGGTAACAATGGCCGCCTACTAATTAAGATTGATCCCTACGACAGAGATCAAGCAAGCATGTTAACATCCAGCATACAACTATCTGGTTAAAGTCGCCAACTTTCAGCCTGGGTCACTCCTTAGGTCAGCAAGTCAGGCCGGGCAGCACCCACATTCATCCGAAGGAACAGAAGGCCGCACATGGTGTAAAACTGCCACATTAACTTCTAATAACCTCCCTGGAGGTATTCCCGGGTGTAGCTCGGGGTAAAATGTCTGTACCAAAAGCGGTAACCCCGAGCTACACTCGGGCTTACCATGCGGCGCTGCATAGGGAGTCCCTGCAGAGCTTACCTTGTCCTTCGCTCCTGCGATGTGTCCCCTGCAGTGTCCTCGGCCATCTCCTCCGGCTGATGCCGGCATCCGGCTTCTGTGTTCCGGTCCCTGTGACGTCGGGACGTACGGGCGCAGCCGGCGGCGGGAAATTTGAAAATTTAAAAAAAATTTCATTTTTTTCAAAACGATTTTACATAGTAAAACATTGCTGTTTCAACCCATTTCACATACATTTTGTCCCTACTGCTTTGTCCTGTGCCCTGTCTGCATTTTGATTGTTCTTTCTGCCTGGAAACTTCCATGGCGTCCAAAAAGTGTCCCTTTAGGTCAAAATCGGTTTTAGACCAGCTAGAGAACAGCGATAGTAAATCAGAACCACTTGCAGAATTGAGTGATAATGATTTGTGGGGAAATTCCTCATCAGACACTGAAAACAATTTTGCGACTTTGCTCAGTGATGTGCGAACTTGGCGCTATATTTCAAATTTCAGTGTTTTTGGTTTGATTATATTATTGAATTAAATGTATTATTATTATATTATTTTTTTTTATGATTATTTATTAAATTACAATTTATGATTTTGTGTTTCAAATTTTATCATACCCGGGATGTTTAATAGACTCTTGTTCGGACAGATTTCAGTGAGTTATTCCTAAAAATTACAGCCTACAATAAAAAAACTACATATTTCCATGCAAAATAATGTACCGCTTTCAGCACAAAAAATCGGAAAGAATCATACCGCCGAGGAGGTTAAAAAGGAACAGGTACAGAGGTAGATCAAGAAGCAGCATATACAAACAAGTAACAGTGCCTCGCAAGCATCATCCGGTGGGTGTGACGATGTCACCAGTCAAGCCCTGCCCAGCAAGTTTCACCATCAAACAATGTCGTCAGGGGAACAGAAGCACATAGCCTGCATTGCTGATTAGTGTATTCTGACAGCAGGGAGGTCTCCCCACGACTGGACTACAGTAGCTGAGTGTGGAGGATTCCCCCATCCACATCAAGTGGGAATTGAGTCTTTTTTTTTTTTTTTTGTTTCTTCAACCCACTGGTTATACGAAAATAACTGACTCCTCTATGGGCTGATTTAGTCAGGGGAGTTTGTTGTCAACAGGTAGATTTTTCATCTTGTTCAATGTCTCCCTGTGAATGGGGCTGATGCTGCACTCTTACTGAAGAACCTAAAGTCCTGGACATGCACCATTGTCCGCTCAATAGGAAGACCCCAACAGACCCTGATGTTCAGAGCCCTGTGAAAATGAGCAATTTTTCCACCTGCCCATTTTGCATGGGAGAAGACAAATTCTGATTGGGTTGGCACACTATTGTATTCTTCTTTGTGCTGTCATTCAAGCCCATCTTCTGGCGACAATGTTTTTCCCCCATGTAGTTTGTCTGTGCTCGCACTGCATGGGTCAACTGCTTGTTTTGTCTAGGGGTTACCATCAAAGCTCATACTAGCCCAGTATGTCGATCCTGTGGAAAACGGCGCTCCCCCACGGTCCAGCAGTGAACTGATCCTGGTCTAGGGAGCCTGCACTGGGCTTGATGACGTCAGGAACAGTCCACAACTCAAGACCGCTGGAGCGTGGGGGTGCTGGATCGTTTTTGGAGGATCAGTTAATTAAATCTCCGGTCTCCTCTCCCCTAGAAAAAAAAAACGAGTAGTTAACCCATGGAATGTGGGCAGAGCCCCACTGCATGGGAAAACAAAAATTGCCCATAGTTGGGCTTGAAATATGCTTCCATTTCTATATTCAGTCACCAAACCGTAAGTTTGTGGGTCAGTTTTGTTTCAACCTCACATTTACTAAATAACACGAGTCAGGTGTTCTATTTCAGGAAGAACTGATCAGACCATAATCTGTCATTTCTGAATATGGCTTTTATTTGGCTTTCATTTGCTTTAGCTCATAACAATTTCCATCATGGAACAGAATTTCAGCTGCTAAATGACTGCTTGGTTTTCTCCAGGGTCATTCATAGGCTAGCTAGGCATTTCATGTGCATATCTAGTAGCAGGCAAAAAATAACATTAGAACCCGACCGTTTTGGTTATGCTTTGCATTTTTTTTTTTTTAATCTACCCTAATTTTAGTGAGGAATCAGAATCTATTTTGCATAGTTTGCTCAACAGTGACTGTGCTATTTCACTTTTGTCTCTTTAAAGGGCTTGTTCATATGTGCGACTATGCTTCCTCCCCTCTGAAATGCAAACCAAGGTGGATTGCTTTCCGGAGGGAGTTTGACAGGGGCTTTCGCCCTTAATGTGATTCTAAAGGTATTTTTTTGAGTAGCAAACACATTATACTTAATTGTTCTGTGCAATGGTTTTACACAGAGCAGGTCTGATCCTCTTCTCCTCGGGTCCCCTGCCAGTGCTCCTGGCTCCTCCCCCTTGCCGAGGCACTCTTGTGTGCTCGCTCCTGAGTCGGCTCTGTGTCCATTGACATGAAGAACCAGCTCGACCCCTCCCTCCACTCCCTCCTCACTGGTTGTGATTCACAGAAGCAGGAGACAATGGCTTAAACTGCTGCCTCTCTGTCCACTGAGGAGAGGGAGAACCGCTGCTCTCGTGCACATCACTGGATCGAGATCGGGCTCAGGTAAGTATAAGGGGGTAGGGGGCTTGGCGGAGAACTGCTTGCTGAATGCTTTTTACTCTAATGCATAGAATGTATTAAAGGATAAGTTCACTTTAAAAAAAAAAAAATAAATGCACATTTTTTTTTTTGCATTTGCTATAAATTGCATTTACTATATATTTTTTTTTATATTATTTTCTATTAGCCCGGAAAGTGTTGCACCAGTGCTGGTGCCATGCAGGGCTTCTGCAGATTGCCATTGTAGTTGTCTGCCCGTACATTGTACAGGCAGGCAGTTTCACACAGACAGGAAGACTCAATGAATTATCAGAGATCTCAACAGCGCTGTGGTAATTCATTGAGAACAACAAGCCGACAGCCACAATGGATGCCGATGTGTAGTTTTCACATTCACAGAACTCTGTGAATGAATGGCGTGGCTGTGTGGGTGGAGCCCCGCACAGCCTCGCTCTTTTCAAAAAGTGATGGCTGGTACAGGGAACTTCTTCTGCTGTCACACAGAGGCTGCAGATCTCCAAGCAGCTGAAGTAGCAGGAACATGGTTACGGGTAGAACATGTAACATGTTCCTGAAGGTGGGCTTATCCTTTAAGGTAAAAAACCTCAGACCTTTAGAACCACTTTAAAATGTAAAACCCACTGCAGCAGAGTCACGGCACAGCATGGACCCTATTCACGTTCATGAATCACATTTGCAGCAGTACCACCTGCTGAATGTAACATGCTGTTTAATGTTCGCTGCAAAGGGAATCATGACAACTGCAGTACAGGGTAGGTCCAAGTTTGCAAGATAGTCTTTTTGGCCACCAGGGGTGATGATGGTAAGGAGTTTTTGTGCAGCCTTTGAAAATCCCATTTCCAGGATTGTTTGTTATGTCAATTGGTCCCCATTCTGCGGATAATAGTATGTAATTGACTAGATGAGTATTGTACTATTGTTGTCCAGAATTGTTTGATTTTGGGAGATGTCCAGCAAGTGTCAGGGATCCTACAGCGGTAGCCTCTAGCGCTCCACAGACCGGATTCCCCCAAGGCGCGGAATCTAAGTCCCTACCTGCTTGTTCACCAGGGCCCCTGATGGTGGGGATGGACTTGGAGCAGGCCGAGACCAGGTCGCAGCCCCTGGGTTCACCCAGCAGTGGTAGAAGCACCGTTGGAGGTGTATAGCAGGTGACAGTCTGATGTGAGGAGGTCACAAGAGCAGCGTCAGGCAGGCCGGGTCGGTAACAGTGGTGGCGGCGTGGTACAAAATCAGCAGGCAGAGGAATAAACAGGTCACAAGCCGGGTTCATTAACAGGAGATCAGAACGTGCAGGGTTAAGCAGGAGAATGGTCAGACAAGCCAGGGATCAGAACAGGAGACAGACAGCAAATCAGGGTCAGGCAGGGTCGGCAACAAGAAAATCTACTAAACAGGAACTTCAGGAAACAGGTAAGACCATACGGCACTTGAGCATTGCAAGAGCTGGGTTTAAATAGCCCGCCCGACTCCCAACAGGCGCTCCTGGGTCCTAGTGCCTGCCCGGCGCCGTCATTGGTGACAGGCGCGCCTGGGTCCTAGTGCCTGCCTGCCTGTATGTCTTGTCAGGATTCTACGCATGTGCAGATTCGATCGCCGCGGCGATCTTCCCATTCCCTGACAGCAAGCATGGAGATGGTCTGCATTGGGATCTCTACATTCTAAGCCATGAGTGGAAGGACTTGGGCCCATTAGGCAGGATAAGTGTGGGGAAGTATAGATGATACTGGAATCTGAGTTTCCACTCTTTATGTTGTGGCCTTGACTGTTTTTAAGAAAAATGTGAGGCAAGTTTCTGTGGACAGGTAAAGGAAAATGTTGGATCCATTTGTGTAGCAAGTTTTTATATTCTATTTGAATATTATTGAAAATAACCCGGAGTTTTCCTTGATGAAATGGGATAAACAAAGCTTCCTATAAACTAACACAGGACTTTTTTCCTGCTTTCCAGAGGAGCTGAAGGAACACTTGATTGGAGAGCATGCAATCGATAAGATCTTCACTTTGGGGAATAGCGAGTTTCCTGTCAGTTGGGACAATGAGATCAAGCTGTGGACTTTCCTGGAGGCGCGAGCTTCACTACTGCTGAAGACCTACAGAACCACCATAGAGGTAATAATCTTCATTGTTCTGGGTTGGGCTTCATGTGCTAGCTGCCATTTTGGTTGGTTGCTATGGGCAACACAAGTATGTTTTTTTAAGTTAACGTTGTTGTAAAAGATTTTTTTTTTAATAACAAGCATGCCTACACTTGCCTGCTCTATGCAATGGTTTTGAACAGAGTGGCCCTGATCCTCCTGCTCTCGGGTCACCCGTCGGTGCTCCTGGCTCCTCCTTTCTTGCTGGTGCCCCAATAAGAAGCTGATTCCTATTCCCTCATGTGTGCTTGCTGCTGAGTCCCGCTGCTGCATCCATCGACACAGACAACGGGACTCGTCCCCGTTCCCCACTCCCTCATCATTGATTGACAGGAGTGGGAGCCAATGGCTCCTGCTGCTATCGAACTGCCCAGTGAGGAGGGACAAAGCCAGGAGAGCTTCAGCTCTCACACACAGTGCTTGGGCTCAGGTAAGTATAAGGGTGGTGATGGGGAGAGTCTGTGACACAGAAGGCTTTTTTGTAACCTTAATGCATAGAATGCAGTAAGGTTGAAAACCTTGATGCTTTATAACCACTTTAAGGCATTTCAAACAAGTCCAGCCAGACGTCCGTGCAATCTGCTATGTTCTCTTGAAGCTATTGGGTTGTGGTAATGCACATTACATGCATTGGTACTATGTGGTGCCATTCATTCTAGATGCCATACCCTGTCGACAGATGTGCGCTGCCAGAAATGATACATAAACCGTTTTTGGTGCTTTGACTGTCCATTCATTTAATTCCTAATGGAACAAACAATGCTGTTGGACATTGCGAATGGGCTCCTAAACTGTTTAAACTAATAAACAGTTAAAATTGATCCGCTAGGCTGTCTGTGATCAAATGCTGGTTGAAATTCCTTCCAAAACTGTTTTTTCATGGGCCTGTTTGGAGAAATAAAAGCACAAAGTAATCTCAAATTGTTCTTCAACTGTATGTGATCCCTAACAATTAAATTATCCTATTTACTCCCTTGTGGTCTGTCAAATATAATATTGAATGTGTGTACGGATGTATATATACATGTGTGTGTATGCATGTATGTATGTATGTGTGTGTGTGTGTGGATGTATATATGACAACATTGAAGAAATGACACTTTGCTACAATGTGACGTAGTGAGTGTACTCATTTTGTTGCCAGCGGTCTAGACATTAATGGCTGTGTGTTGAGGGGACAGCAAATTTACATGTTATACAAGCTGTACACTGACTACGTCACATTGTAGCAAAGTGTAATTTCTTCAGTGTTGTCACGTGAAAAGATAGAATCAAATATTTACAAAAATGTGAGGGGTGTACTCACTTCTGGGAGATACTGTGTATATGTATAATATAAAAATAATATTCAGAGTTCATGTGCTGACAAGAAGCATGCTAATAGAAAGAAAAGGGCAGGGATGAGATGATGTCACTGTCCAGTCGCAGTCTGGGGTTGGGTCCAGTAGGACCAGGGCTTTGAAGTGGGTTGAATGATGCTACCCACCAGACCCACATCTAGCAGTAGAAAAAGTATTGCAGGGAAAACTGTGGATTGAAGGTGAATATTGCAACAAAAGCTGGTTTTGTTATTTCTATCTTTTATTGCACTATTCATTTTTATGTTATTTTTGACTGGAGTTCTACTTTAATACAAGAGCGGGCATTCACAAATGTTTGGCCATATAGTGTATTGAATGAATGTGGGTATTTTTTAGTGGCTCTGTGTGCTCTGCCTAAATATGTTGGGACAGGAAAAACGCTGCAAATAATTATGACCACTATTCAAAAGAAAAAGGAGAAAAAAATAAAAAAAACAAACAAACGCACGCACACACACCAAAAAATTTAAAGGAACATTTTTTAATCAGAGTATAGCATCAGATCAGTTAAACTCCTGGGACGTTGATCTGGCCAGTAGAGTAGCAGAGGGGATTGTTAATCAGTTTCAGCTGCTGTGGTGTTAATAACATTAACAACAGGTGCACTAGATGGGCAACAATGAAACGACTCCTAAAACAGGAATGATTTTACAGGTGGAGGTCACTGCCATTTTTTTCCCTTACTCATCTTTTCTGACTGTTTGACCCTAGCCAAATGCAAAACTAGAGAAAATGTCACTACTGGTAGCTTGAGGCGATACCTCGACCCTACAGAGGTTGCACAGGCAGTCCAACTCCTCCAGGATGGCACATCAATACGTGCCATTGCCAGAAGGTTTGTTGTGTCTACCAGCACAGTCTCAAAAGCATGGAGGAAGTTCCAGGAGACAAGCAGTTACTCTAGGAGAGCTGGACAGGGCCATAGAAGGTCCTTAACCCATCAGCATGACCGGTATCTGCTCCTTTGTGCAAGGAGGACCAGGATGAGCACTGCCAGAGCCCTACAAAATGACCTCCAGCAGGGCACTGGTGTGAATGTCTCTGACCAATCAGGAACAGACTTCATGAGGGTGGCCTGAGGGCCCGACGTCCTCTAGTGGGCCCTGTGCTCACTGCCGCCACCATAGAGCTTGATCGGCATTTGCCATTGAACACAGGAATTGGCAGGTCCACCACTGGCGCCCTGTGCTTTTCACAGATGAGAGCAGGTTCACCCTGAGCACATGTGACAGACGTGAAAGGGTCTGGAGAAGCCGTGGAGAACGTAATGCTGCCTGTAACATCGTTCAGCTTGACCGGTTTGGTGGTGGGTCAGTGATGGTCTGGGGAGGCATATCCATGGAGGGACGCACAGACCTCTACAAACTAGACAATGGCACCCTGACTGCCATTAGGTATCGGGATGAAATCCTTGGACCCATTGTCAGACCCTATGCTGCTGCAGTGGGTCCTGGGTTCCTCCTGGTGCACGACAATGCCCGGCCTCCTGTGGCGAGAGTATGCAGGCAGTTCCTTTCCTGGAGGATGAGGGAATTGATACCATTGAATGGCCCCCACGCTCGCCTGACCTAAATCCAATAGAACACCTCTGGGATGTCATGTTTCGGTCCATCTGATGACGCCAGGTTGCACCTCAGACTGTCCAGGAGCTCAGTGATGCCCTGGTCCAGATCTGGGAGGAAATACCTCAGGACACCATCCGTCGTCTCATTAGGAGCATGCCCCAATGTTGTCAGGAATGCATACAAACACGTGGGGGCCATACAAACTACTGAGTACCATTCTGAGTTGCTGCAGTGACATTTCAGCAAAATGGACTCGCCTGTTGCATAATTTTTTTACTTTGATTTTCTGGGTGTCAGTCCTCTGTAAATTGATCATTTTCGATTCCATCTAACGATGGGGCATCCATATCAGAATAGATATCCAGCATGTTCGTTTTTCCCTATTGAGATCTGATGTGTTTTCAAAGTGTTCCTTTAATTTTTTGGTGTGTAAGTGTGTGTAATACACACACATATATGCAGGCTTGGGAAAGATCCCGACTTCACATTGGGATCCACCCAGATGCGTGGCCTGTCAGCTTGCTCAGCATCTCAGCACGTCGCTGAGAGCCAGAGTCCGCCACTCCTCCCACCCCTTCCACAGCCCAGCACTCTACTGAGCACTGGAGGGGAAGAGCAGAGAGCCGGTGACTGACAGTCACTGTTCTCTGCTCAAAGCAGAGGGGGAGAACTGAGCAATCAGCAGTGTTTGATCACTTACTTCTCAGGATAGAGCCAGCAGGGGACAACTACAGGTGAGATCGGTGTTGCAGCCATCTAGGTGAGTATATGGTTGTTTTTTTTTTTGCTATTCCTATACTTCTATTTTAAGCATTATTGCACATCAAGTTTTTTATAAACCAGCTTTAATGATCGTCAAGCAAGAAAAGAAAGAGAAATCAGCCTTATCTACACTGTTTACTAAGCCACAAGTTGGTGTTTGTAAACAGAGATCCAAAAGCTACTCCTTTGACAGTAACACCACCTTTCTTAGGGTGACCATGCTCACTCACTGTACTGAATCAGTGGAGGAGCAGCATTGTCACCCTAGGGCAGGAAATGTGTAAGACTATAGAACACCTCCCTCTTCTCATTTATATACCATGGGGGAGGTGGGTGCTTTGTAGTTTAATGAAGATGGCTGAAAACATTGTGTGAGAGGAAGTTAAAAGATTTCTGACAGGATTAACAGATATTTTTCTGTACTTGCTGGAAATATACTCAACCTGGAGAAAAAAGAAAACAAATGCAGGGATCACATCAAAGGACTGGTAAGCTAGAATAAATGCAGTTTTTGTTGCTGGGTTTAGATATTCTTTACAGGTTCTAAAAATTGGCTTTAGGTACACTTTAATGCTGAACTCCGAAGACGAAAAAAACTTTTCCTTTACAGTGGATCCTTCTCCCCACTACAAGGGTTAGCTGCTCGCTTTGCCAAGGAATGATGAATAAGGTGATTTACTTACGTTATTCCTCATTCACTAGTACAATGCAGGACCCTGCTAACCCTGCATTGTATGGGATGACTTCTGAGATCTGGCACAGGTCAGGCAGCGAACAGAAGAGGCTTCCAGGGATCAGTCGCACAAAGAAGCTAGTGGCAGTGAAGAGAAATGCAGGCCATACATGGATCGAATTCCGAACAAATTTTCGTGCATTTTGTAATCCGATGGTGCCACCATTGATTTCGAAATTCAACCAACCGAGCCTTTAATTTCATCTCATACTGCTACAGAAAAGAATTTTTATGGCCAAGAATTTTCTTTTCTTTCCAGGTCTCAGCTCATGCTCATTTTTTTTTCAATTACATTTCTCGCACAGTTCTCCCATCATTAATTAGAAATTTGTTTGTTTTTTTAAAAAATCTCCAACATGCCTGATCACTCAGATTCGATGGTCACTCGAAATTGGCCATTGCTGTTGCCCGCTAATGATATGAAATTCAAACGAAAGTTCTTAGAAAAGAAAATTCTTTCAGAATTCAACCCATGTATGGCTGACCTAAGGTACGTTTATCATCATATTTATCGGTCTTTAGGCAAAACAAGCAGTTAACCCTTGCAAGTGGGGACTTTTGAGGGTATATATATTTTCCCTTTGTTCAGCTTTACAGCTGCCTATGGCAATTCAATGATTTTGAGCAATTTCTAACATTTTTTTTTTTATTATTCCTATAGGAGGATAAACACCTTTTAGAGCAAGGCAACCTATCACTTCATGCAGTAATGGCTGTCAAACTGCGTTTGGTGGAGAAGGAGATCTTGGAGAAAGCCGTAAAAAGTGCTTCCGATAACCGCAAGCTGTACAGCAAACGATTAGAGGATGGTGACCCGCTCCCAAAATACGAAGAAAGCAACATCGCCTTTTTGGAGAACACTGCGTCAGACTCCAAACTTCCCCTGGTGCTAAGAAACCTTGACGAAGAAGACATGGAGCCGGCTGAGCTCAAAATCCAAGAGGCTCTCACCATTTCTGAATTCACCGAAAATGGTTACGTCAATGGAAAAGACTCTCTGCTCAATGGGACCAAGTCTGAAAGCGCTACCGTCCTCCCAGAGGAGGAAGCAACCAAAGACGCCAAAGAGATTTCTGCGGAGTGCACCGATACGGCTAAAGTGCAATTGTGAACTATTTTTGACTTTTACAGAGATTTAGAAAGAAATACAGAGTTTTCGAAACAGTGCAGTTTCATTGCTGTGTTCACTTGTTACCTTTTTGGCAGATAAAGATGTTGCTGCTTTGTTGTTTTTTTTTTTTTTTTTTTTTTATGTTGACCTTTTAAAAGGAGTGTGTGGAGGAAAGTTTTTGTGTTGTCTCTGGCCACCAATGAGGTTCCAGCAGTTATTGTGAAACAGTCCTGGATGATTGACAGCTGGGAATTGTTCAGCTGCTGTAGGCAATGCAGGCGCTTTTCTTTCCTCCATTATGGGTACCTGTCTAAAGGGGTAATGTAGGAATAGGCAACAATCAACATGTCCATGGATTTTTATCTATCAAGGCATCTTACGCTTTTTGGAAGCACATTGGGGGAAAAAATGGTGATATTAGATAGATGCCTGAACCTGCAAGAAGTTGCCTAAAGGTGATTTCCACTTTTAAAAATATAATTTACTTGACTTTTTTTAAGAGACTATTAGATTTGCCATTTTTATGAAAAGTTTACATTTAGTTTGAAGAATATTATGGCTTGCCAATGCAGAGATATAAAGCATCCCTCTCTTTTTCAACAGTATCCCCCTGTAGGTACTACCTGGTATAGCAATTTTCCACTCTGATCTGATGGAACCCCATGAGCACCATTGCACATATTGCGGAGGGATCAGAAAGTTCAGTCTAACAACAAAAAGACTATTTGTTCATCCATCGTCAAATTGGGAATTAATATCTACAAGTGTCTGTTGTTTCTATAAACAACTGTATACCATTTGACACGCATGGCATTGAGAATCAGGGTGGGGATCGCGTTTATTAGTATATTGGTTTATTGCTCAGAAGAAGTTGATTGCAAGTTAATGAACAATTGAAACCTTTAGGTAGAACTGTGGCCAGGTTCTATAGGCAAAAAAAAATATTTAATAAAATTTTAGTTTGAAGAATAAAATGTTTTTTTCATTTGAAGAATTAAATATTTTTTTTTTAACAAGCAGTAAATAAGCTTTAAAAGAAGCCCTCATTGACCTCCATAGTTTCAGGCACTGTGCAGTAATTCATCCTTAAACAGAAGCATGGAAGCCTTACAAGTCGGTTCTCCTTTCAGTAGTTTAGAAAAAAGAATCTAAACAACTGAGCAATTTAGAGAAATCCGCAGCGGACATTGTAGGACAAAAGGTAACAATGAGACAAGTGCTATACAGAACAAACTAGCCATTTTATCATTGGTAACATGTCAATTTAGGTGACAAAAGCTACGAAAAGGGTATCGATACACGGGTTAACTGCTTTAGCAAAACCCTATAGCAGAAATATTGCTACAGGGCGGCAGCTGTGTGCAAAATCACATGTATATATACGTGATTTTGTATTTCCGAGGTGCATGAGCCCTACCCACGCCACCATTCGCAGCCGCGGATGTCAATCAAAACGGATCCCAGGCGGTGATTGCCAAGGATCTCCGATGGAGGGGAGAGCTGTTGGTAAACAGTTCTCTCCCCTGTCAGCTCCTGAACACTGCTTTTCATGGCTGTGCATAGCACAGCCATGCAAAGCAATGTGCTTACAGTGAAGCACACACACACACAGCCACTAATAAAACAGCACACTGTTAACCCTTTGATCGCCCCACGTTAACTTCTTCCTGCCCAGGGCCATTAGTACAGTGTCAGTGCTTTTTATTAGCACTGATCACTGTATTGGTGTCACTGGGGATGTTACTGACACCAAGTCAGTTCCCCCCAGTGTCAGAATGCCCCCCTGCAGTTCTGCTATAAGTCGTTGATCACCGCCATTACTAGTAAAAATAAACAAAAAACACAGTATATATACGTCATTTGTAAACGCTATAACTTTCACATAAACCAATTAATTTACACATATTGTGATTTTTTTTTTTCAGCAAAGACATGAAGCAGAATACATTTTGGCCTAAAATTATGATGAAATTTGATTTTTTAAATCTTTTTACTGGGCATGTTTAATAGGAAAAAGTAAAAAATATTGTTTTGTTTTTTTTTAATAGCGCAAAAAATAAAAAACACACAGGCGATCAAATGCCAAGCTCTATTCGTGGGAAAAAAAGGATGTAAATTTCATTTGGGTGCAGCGTTGCATGATCGTGCAATTGTCAGATAAAGTAATGCAGTGCCATAACGCAAAAAGTGGCCTGGTCAGGAAGGGGGGGGGGGGGGGGTAAATCCTCAGGAGGGCAAGAGGTTAATAGTCCCTTGAGACCAAGTATTGGTACAAGAGTAGGCAATCTCGATGTGGTGGAAGAGGGAAACAAAAAAAGAAGTAATGTGGCTAGGGGAGAACAGGGACAGGAAGGGAGAGATACCTAGCTACAAGTCCATTCTCAACACTCTATACGCTCCAGTTTTCCTGTGCAACAGCTGTGTTTATATTAGAGATTGGCTGGCAAGTCACTGCTGATCGAGAAACAAAATAAGTTAATGAAATAATAGTTGTATTTCTCCTGTACATATTGAGGATGAATTGCTTCACAGTGCCTGCAGCTACTGAGGTTGGTACAGAGCTTATTTCACAGCCTGTTTACTGAAGAATATATAAAATATTTTAACACCCTTATTCTGGCCCTCAAATCTACTTTAAAAGTTTATTTTTATGAGAAAAGCTTAGAGGCCTCCAATGCTGAGAACCCCTTCAGAAAATTCCTGTTGATTGATGTCATGCACCATACTTCACGCCAGTAACATTGAACAAGTATTTACGTTTTTTTCTTTCAGCCTATTAAATGGGCTTCATTTTTCTTACAACAGGTTTACTTTAAATTCTGCCAAGGCAGCATAGTTTACACCAGTGAGTTTCCTGCAGTTGTCTACAATAGGATAGCAATGGGTGGTGGCTACATTGCATAATTTGGTGCTGGAGTCCACTTTAAGTAGGTCAACCTGCAGAATGGTAGATGATGATGAAGAGTTGGGGCCCTGGAGCCCTCTGGTTCTTGAAACATTGCAAAGGTCACCAGAGGCAGGCACAGCACACTGGCACTTGTAATTTTTCTTAGATTTGAGTACTATGGATTGTGCTCAGTGCTGAGTGCACAGTGGTCATCTTTATTCAGTTCCCTAAGCTCCTGATTTAGGATAGGTTTGTAGTAATCAGACACATGATCACTGTAAAGATAATGCATCCATAGACTGCAAACAGGTGCCTGCATTCTTCATCACTTTACTTGTATTGAACACACTTAAAAGAAGTTCTTCACTTAAAGTAAATATTTCTATGTACAGAAGGGGATTGTTTGACATGCAGCCCTCAGCTTCCCAACTAAAGTGTAAAAGCTGCAATGAGTCCTTGTTTGAAATCAAGTATGAAGTGGGATGAGTATTGGGAAAAGTACTTGTTTAGTTCTATAGGGATCTGGGGTAGCACCTTTCCAAGCAAGCAGTCATCATTGGCACCACTGTTTTCTGGTAAGGGCTTAGACACAAGCAGCTCTGGGCCTGCCTACAATCAAGTGATTTATGTCTTGTAACTCACTGAACAGTCCTGAAAAGAATTGACCTCTTTTCAGCAGTACCAGGCATAGTCAAAGCATTTCATGTAGAATTCTAGCTGCATTAAATGCTCAGAGACTTGTCAGTGAGTGTTGTCACGCTCCCTCCAGTTCGATCTTTCTGTAGGAGAACTAGTAGTAGTTTCATAGCTTCTCCAAGCCACATCTTCAGTTCCAATGAGTTTCAGAAACCTACCCACGCCTTTATATTCGCACAGGTATCACTCCTGGAGTATCTTCCTATGCGTGTTAGAGCCAAAGAATTGGCTTGGAGAAGCTATGAAACATTACAGAATAAGTCCAGTTGAATGTGACTATCTGCTACTCGCTCTACCAAGACCTGGGTCAATGAGAACCTTCACAGACTTTGTGGAAGACTGGGGCAAATCCCATGATCTTCATGAAAAGCCTGTGGGTGACATGTAAACTATATGTAAAGATAGTCGTATTCTGATGCCTAACGACCCATACTGCTGTTGTCTACGTACCCTGAAGCAGTTATTTAGAGTTTTTCTTTTAATTTCTACATTGATTTGTATCGGAGGGAGGAGAATCACTGTGGGCCTTCTTTGCAAGAAACATCTTCCAGAACCATCCAGCTGATACGAGGAGGCACCAACTTGGAACAAGCCTCCAGCTCCATTGCTTGATTACTTATCCAGCTCATTCACTTTACTGATAACAAAGCCTAATGATTGGCTGGACCACTTTGGAAGATGTAACAAGGAGGTCCAAGATGTTTCTGGTGATGATATAGGGATCTGTCAGAAGGTGGTAGTATCTGTGTGAGAAACCTCAAGAGGAAGCTGCTGTGTTCTTATTCATTTCTACTTCCTAGTTGTAGGACAGTAATGTGAATTGCAGTAAATAGACTTCAGGGCCCGGAGAGCCAAAACCCTGGCAGCTTTTATAGAAGACCTCCCACAGGGAGTTGCCTTAATGAGGGGTTTCCTTTCATTAAACCGGTAAGGAACTTTGGCAACTTAAGCTGAGCAAATATTTAAAAAAAATACTCCTAAGCAAAGTTACCTTTAGCAAAAATGTTGTCAAGGTGATCTGTAGATCCAGAGTTGGAGTTGATCTTTGCTGTAAAAGTTGTTCTAGGTCCCACCTGTTCCCAAGCTTCCCTTTTCTTTAACATTGTGGGTGGCTTCGCTGACCAGTAGGAAGGACAGGGCCAAGATTGACATTAAACAGGAAAGATTTGTTTATAACTTCTGCCTGGATCGCTGACCCTATTGCCATGCGTTTTTTTTTTTTTTTTTTTTTTATTGAAGGTGACGTATGCTTATATACTTTTAATGTTTCATTTGGAGACAAGTTTATGTTCCAGAAAATGTTGGCCACTGACTCAAAGAAGTGATAGAGGCTTTTGGTTTAAGTTAATATATATGTGTAAATAAAAAAAAATTATATATATATATATACAGTATATATTTTATGACAGTGAATCAC